ACACTTTTAACTTTTTCGAAAGGATTAATCGGATTCTCAGCCCCTCCATCAATGTCATAGTATATATTCTATACACAGCTCATGGAGATAACATAAAGGAAGAACAAGACTATAACACAGAATATATTTCTCTTTTGTGTGCAATATCTATCGATCAGACAATTAAATGGTAATGCATGGATATATGTGTAAATTAAATTAAGAACATAATTGATTGGATGAATCAATCCCATCTCTAGAAATCTCAGTTATATGATGATTCAAATTTGTTGTCATTCTTTCAATGAAAATATCCTAAATCACACTAACATTAGATATTAAAACAAAATATATATTATGAGAGTATATGAATATTTTACTATTTTTTGCTACATAAATTATTTTTAAACATTAATGTGGATACTACTACAAAAAACATTAAAAGATCGATGACAGTTAAAAATGCTAATAAATATGTTTTCAATTGTCCTCTATGCAGGGTGTCATCCAAAGAGTTTAAAACTATGAAAATTTATAATTGACATCGTGCAATACAAACCCTTTTAAACATACTTCTTGACATGAAAAATCTTTAATTCGGTTGCGTTCATGAACTCTTTTCTTGATTTATAGAATTTTAAGTTTTGATTCATATTATCATATATAGAAGCTATTATTTGAGCTGCTAAGCCAAAAGTGAATGATTCTTTAAGTCTTTACCTTTAAAAAGAATATATACTCTTCAATATAAGGTAGACTTTAGTTCTTTACGCTATCAACATGAAGCACCTCATGTGGGGGGAAATGAAGCACCTCGCCGCTGTTTAAGGAGGCAACTCTAAGAAGAAAAGTGATAAAATCTTATTATTATTATTATTATTATTATTATTAGGGTGAATAATAACAACATCTTCCTACCATTATATTTTTTAACATCACCTTACCGTTATATTTTTTATGTTAAGATAAATAACATAAGGGTTATTAAGTAAATATTCATTAATTCATTATATGATAAATTCTAAAAATAAATTAATAACGCAATAATAGTAGAAGAATTTATGTTATTTCTAAAATCTCATAAGAGATTTGTTATTTGATTAAATTTAAGAGAGATTGAGATCGAAAACCCTTTTTATTATTGCTGTTGTTGTTAATATAATTATTGTTGTTGATGATGATAATTATTATTATTTTAGAAAGTATTTATTTGTAGCATATTAAATTTCAATTAAAATTAAAATTTCTAAGAAAGAGAATTAATCTTTGTCATGGTTGTTAAATCACAACATGCATGTCTTGAAAGTCACCTGCGCACACACATTTGGGCCATGTATTTGTTTAGGTTCGTAAATCTTCTGAGGTGGCTCTCTATGCATATGCCTATTCCCACTGGTGGAACCAAAAAATTACATTGGGGTCATTGTGTAATGCTCGATGAATAAGGAAACCAAAGCATAAAAAATGTATATAGCAAAATGCATTTAAGGGGGTTAAAGGTAAAGTTTGATGAACGAGGGGGCAAAGGAAAGATATGAAATTTAAGGGATAAAAAAAATTCTACAAAAAAATCAAAAATTTTTGTTGGGACTGGGCTGGGCATGGCTGCGAGGCCCAACGCCAGGTCCACCACCGTATATTCCACCATCATTTTTATTTTTTTATTTTTTTTATTTTTTGGTCTTTGGTTAGGTGTGGTACAACAAAGATGCGTAGAAATTTATTTCCATTTCTATAGTGGACTATCTCTTGGTGACATTTAGTTCAAAGAATGTTGTATTATTGAAAATATTATATTAATAGAAAGATAAATTACTTAAAAAATTATTGAGAATGTTATATAAAATGTGTTTGGTTTGATTATAATAAATTGATGGGTATGTTATACTTATATGTTTTGTTGGAAGGAATAAATAGTTGGGTATTCAATATAAATTACTGAATTGTCCTTCTTTTTTAATATTATTATTTACTGTTATTATTTAGAATATTTTTTTAATCCCTACATTAGAGAATTTAGTTAAACACTCATACAATAAAAGTTTAATAATTAACAAATACACCCCAGCCACCCAAGAGAAGAGCCGATTGTCGGCCACTAACACAGGATGACAGTCAGCAGTCGTTGGAACGGCGCAAGATCAGCCAGATGTCATCGGTTGTGATGGCCAAAATCTGGCCATCAACGACGAGCAGATAGATTTGGTCGTTTTCATCCATACAGATCTGGCTCTTTTCGGCTAGATCCACGACTATTTGGTTGTTTTCAACCATTGATCTAACAAAAAACAGCTAGATCGATGCACGGTCAGCCAGATCCACAACCATCTGGTTGTTTCCAACCATTGATTTGACCGAAAATGGCCAAATTGTCACACAGTTGGATCNGAAACCAAAGCATAAAAAATGTATATAGCAAACTGCATTTAAGGGGGTTAAAGGTAAAGTTTGATGAACGAGGGGGCAAAGGAAAGATATGAAATTTAAGGGATAAAAACAATTCTACAAAAAAATCAAAAATTTTTGTTGGGACTGGGCTGGGCATGGCTGCGAGGCCCAACGCCAGGTCCACCACCGTATATTCCACCATCATTTTTTTTTTTTTTTTTGGTCTTTGGTTAGGTGTGGTACAACAAAGATGCATAGAAATTTATTTCCATTTCCATCGTGGACTATCTCTTGGTAACATTTAGTTAAAAAATGTTGTATTATTGAAAATATTATATTAATAGAGAGATAAATTACTTAAAAAATTATTGAGAATGTTATATAAAATGTGTTTGGTTTCATTAGAATAAATTGATGGGTATGTTATATTTATATGTTTCGTTGGAAAGAATAAATTGTTGGGTATTCAATATAAATTACTGAATTGTCCTTCTTTTTTAACATTATTATTTATTGTTATTATTTAGAATATTTTTTTAATCCCTACATTAGAGAATTTAGTTAAACACCCATACAATAAAAGTTTAAAAATTAACAAAAACACCCAAGCCACCTAAGAGAAGAGCCGATCGTTGGCCACCACCGCAGGATGACAGTTAACAGTCGTTGGAATGGTGTACGATCAGTCAGATCTCATCGGTTGTGATGGCCAAAATCTAGCCATCAACGACGAGCAGATAGATTTGGTTGTTTTCGTCCATACAAATCTGGCTATTTTTGGCCAGATCCACGACCATTGATCTGACAAAAAATAGCTAGATCGACGCATAGTCGGCCAGATTCACAACCATCTAGCCGTTTCCAACCATTGATTTGACCGAAAATGGCCAAATTTTCGCACGATTGGATCTGCGTTGTTCTAGTGACGTCTGCCGGCAGCTATAGGCGATGGTGGTCCAGTCTAGCATTCTAGTAAATTATTTTCAACACAACGGCATTCTTGTCCAAAAGTTTTGTTTATAAAGATAAAATAGTCCATGAATATTCTTGTAAATTGATTTTCAAACAAGAGCATTTTTGTCCAAAAGTTTTAATAGTTAGGGATAAAATTGTAACAAAAATTAGATTATCAAATAATTTTAGAATATTCAAGAAAATTGGGGTATTCAGATTACCACCTATATTATCAACATTGATTATTATTGGTTTTAAAAGATTACTTGTCAACAAAAAATGACAATGTAAATAATATAAGATGATATTATTAGAGTAATCACACATCACCTCCAACCAAACATACTCTTGGAATATAAGAAAATGTTTCAAGGTATCATAGAATTCAATTAATTAATGGAGCTTCTAATGCATATATAAGAAAACGTTTCAAGTGTGTTATTTTTTAAAAAGATATTTGTTTTATAATAAATCCAATTGGAATTATATAATTTAAAAATTGAAGTGCTGATTTCATTATTGTATATATTTAAAAATTGATTGCTGATTTCTCTTCCTACTTCAGTAATGTAAATTTCTTCGTTTCAACAATATCAATAACTTTTTAGTATGCATATTTAAAAATTTTGTTAGTCAACCCAAAAATTATTTTTTGGATGGGTTAATTTAAAAAGAGGCGAAACCAGAAATTTATTTTAGGAAGGGCTGAATTTTTTTTTCTAAACAACAGCTAAAAATTACATATTATAAAGGGAGTAAAATCATATATACATCATGTAAACTGATTTAATAAATAGAATAAAAATAGATAAATTATTATTATTTTCTCATGTTAGGGAAATTGAAATTATCGTCTTGTAGAGACAAAAGAAAGGGTTGTATTCAAAGCCAGAAAATTATTTAGGTGAGATATAAGGGAGTGGGTACATATATAATAAGTAATTAACTTATTTATTTAAGCATTAGGATTTTTTTTTTTAAATTAGGAATAATAAGAAAAATGAAATTCCTTTTAATTAGGATTTGATGAAATAGAAGAAATATTTTTTTAAAAATAAAATTGGCATACAAATTGCAATTATTTTACCAGGATTATAAATTTTATTTGAAATGATAAAAAAAAAAAAAAGTATTGATGTATATATATATATATGAAAATTGTAAAATTAATGAGCTTTTATAAAGACTATGATATTAGTTTTATTCAAATAATTAGTGCACATAACATATGAAGCTTACTAAACCAGTATTTAATTACTAAAACAATATTTAATTTATCCTAGTTTTTGTCGTTATGGGAAAGCTTCTCCTTAACAGAAGAAGAAGAAAATGATGTTGTCGTTTCCAACAAGACTATCGAAGATGCTGCCGCCAAAGACAAACACTGCCTTTTGGCTCTCCTTGTCACGGAGAAAAATTATAGTAGAGAAGCATTTCGATCCACCATGTCTCAAGTTTGGAAACTGGATGGATGGATCCATTTTACAGATGCTGGTGAGAAATTATTTTTGCTAGAATTTCAAAATGTCTCTGATCTATAGAAAGTCCTCAACGGACGACCTTGGACATTCGATAGGCATTTGATCGCTATTCGAGTTGATAGTAGCACTCCTTCTAATGCTAGTTGTTTTACTCATGAACCTTTCTGGGTTCAATTACATAATATGCCTTTTGCGGCTATGAATAAAGATTATGGAGTCCAACTAGCGTCTGCAATTGGCAAAGTTCTTGAAGTGGAAGTTGGCGAGAATGATTTGGGCTGGGGAAGTTTTCTGAGGGTGAAAGTAGAGGTTGAACTTACCAAACCTCTGGTTCGAGGAAGGATATTAAGGATTGGGGAGCAAAAGCACTGGATTGCTTTCAAGTATGAACGTTTACAAAATTTCTGTTTTAAATATGGAGTTCTTAAACACAAGAATAGAGGTTGCTCTTTCATTAGACAGACTGAAGAATCCAATACTCAATTCGGACCTTAGTTGCGAGCCAGTACATCAAAGTTATATTCTAAGGAATCTAAACGCTATGGTGGTTCAATAGATCGAAGCACAAAGCATTTTCATTCACCTCCCATGGATGCTGCTGGTGATACCAGGGGCGCATATGTAAATTCAGATCAGAAAGAGTCGGAGGCTGATTTTCAAGAAATAATAAAGGAAGGTAGTAATAACATTCAAACTGACTCTGCGACGGATACGTTATATGGTAAGGATTGCTTGCCAGGTCAACTTTCCAAGAAAGATGCGGAGAATATTTCATCCATTAATTCTCCAATTATCTCTGCCAATAACGGATCAACCCAAGATTCTCTCTCAGAAACAAATGCTTTAATTGAGGATGTCATGGCTCAAGATTGGCAAGAAGCTCCTCCTCATCAGGATGTGACAGCAACTCCTCAACTTTCTGAAATCTCCTCCCAAGCTATACATCCGGGTGGACCTAAGAGACCCACTTGGAAACAGGAAGCTAGAGGCATTAATCACATCAATGTGGAGGAAGGTTCTATTCAGACAAAAAAAAAGGAATATACGATTAACAATAGAAGGCTCTACTGAGATACACAGTCCCAAGAAACAGAAAGTATCAAATGACTCTGCTCCTACAACTTTCAAGGTGAAGGCTGCTTCGCAGCCCCACCACACCCAATGATTTGCATTAGCTGGAACTGCCGTGGGCTTGGGAACCCATGGACAGTTTGTGAACTTCATCATTGGGTGAAGACTAAGTGTCCCGACTTTGTTTTCCTTATAGAGACAAAGTGTAACAGGAATAAATTAGAGCTCATAAGAAACAAGATTGGATTTTCATGCAGCTTTGTTGTTGAAAGTAGACGGGCTAGTGGAGGTATTGCAATATTATGGAAGGATGATAAGGAAGTGGACTTGGTGTCCTATACTCAACATCACATCTCTATTATCGTTAATCAGCCAACAGCAAACCAAAAATTCATTTTAACAGGTTTTTATGGACACCCGGATGCTTCGAAAAGAACAGGTAGCTGGAACTTGTTAAGAGAATTAAAAGCTCAATCGAATATGGCATGGCTGTGTATTGGTGACTTTAATGAAATTTGCCACCAATATGAGAAGTTCGGAGCTGCAGATAGACCTTACAGGCAAATGCAAAATTTTCGAGAAGCACTTTTAGATTATGATCTCAGTGAAATTCCTTTCAATGGAGATTTCTTCACTTGGAATAATGGCAGAGAAGGATGGTATTTCACAAAGGAAAAATTAGATAAAGACTTTGGAAACGAGGCATGGTTTGAACTGTTCTCAGATTGCATAGTGAATTCTTTAAGTGTTTCTTCTTCTGACCATAAACTAATTTTCATCCAAATTAGAGGAGAATTGGAAACTGAAATAAAAAAGCATAGGCCTTTCCGATATGAAGCTGCCTGGGATAATAGAGCTGAATGTGGGGAGCTGATCCAAAGAGAATGGCTTTGCAACTTAAATCCGAACTCTAGTCTACCAAGTGCTATGGAAGGACTCCAAAGGTGCAAAGAAAAACTGTCCACCTGGAGCAAAAGCACTTTCCGAGACCAAAGGAATACTATGACAGACAAGCTATCTCAACTGAAGCATCTGGAAGACACAAACAGAGGCGATAAGAAGGAAGAATTGCAGCATCTCAAACAAGAAATTGATGGACTTCTTGAAGAAGATGATATCAAATGGAAGCAAAGAGCTAAACAACAATGGTTAAAAGATGGTGATCGTAATACAAAATTCTTTCACTTGTGTGCTAACCAACACAGGAAGTCTAATGTTATCAAGCAAATTTCAAGTGATGATGGCAGGTTTGCTAATAAACCTGAAGAGGTTAGCAACCTTTTTCAATTATTCTTTCAATCATTATTTTCTTCGTCAATGCCTGAGAGAATAGAGGACTGTATCCGTGTGGTAAAGCCTGTAATAACTCCTAAAATGAACAGTGATTTGGTTAAGCAAATTTCTAACGAAGAAGTAGAAAAAGCTGTTTTCAATATGAATGGGTTAGGATCTCCAGGACCTGATGGATTTCTTGCCATCTTTTATTAGAAACATTGGATGATCATTGGACCTAGCGTGTGTGTTGCTGTGAGAGATGCCTTCTATTCTGGGAGCTGGCAGGACTTTAATGCTACTCTTATTGCATTAATTCCCAAGGTTAAAACTCCTTTTAAAGTGTCAGAGTTCAGGCCAATATCTTTATGCAACGTTCTTTATAAAATTTTGGCCAAGGTCCTTGCTAATAGACTACAAAAAATCCTACCACAGATTATATCTCCATCACAAAGTGCTTTCATACCAGACCGGTTGATTACTGATAATGCTATAGTGGCATTTGAAGTCATGCATACTATGAATACCAGTCTAAAAGGGAAGGATGGTTATATAGTGCTTAAGCTTGATATGAGCAAGGCTTATGACAGGCTTGAGTGGTCTTTCCTGCAAGCAGTCATGCTTAAGATGGGTTTTAACCCAACCTGGATCAAAGTCATCATGAACTGCCTCTCATTAGTTACTTACTTGGTTCTCATCAATGGGATTCCTTAAAAACCATTCAAACCTTCTCGTGGGATTAGACAAGGTGACCCTTTGTCACCTTATCTATTCATTATTGGAGCTGAAACTCTTAGTAGGCTCATCCAAGATGCTGAAGACAGAGGAGTTATCAAAGGGGTTCCAATGGGGCGTTCTAAAATGAGTATTAGCCTCCTCTTTTATGCTGATGACTGTCTTCTCTTCTGTAAGGCTAATCATTATGAATGGAATAGGTTGTTTAAGCTACTAGACACCTATGAAAAGAGTTCCGGGAAAAGACTTAATAAGGAAAAAAACTTCTATATTTTTCAGCAAAAATACTAGAGGAGATGTCAAGCAGCAAATTATCCAAGTGGCTGGGGTAAAATCCTCTCATCCTTATGAAAGATACCTTGGACTTCCAACGTTGATTGGGAGGGACAGAACAAGAGATTTTAAGCACATCCTGGACCGAGTACGAGGCAAAATCAGTAATTGGAAGGTGAAGTATCTATCACAAGCTGGGAAAGAAACTCTACTTAAGGCTGTTATTCAAGCTCTTCCAACATATAGCATGGGTGTTTTTAAAATCCCAAAAACCATCTTACAAGAGCTCAATAGATTGACTAAAAATTATTGGTGGGGCCAAAAGAATGACGAAAGCAGGATTCACTGGTGTTCATGGGATAAAATGAAGCTGTCCAAGACCAATGGTGGCTTAGGCTTCAAAGATTTAGAACTCTTTAACTTGGCTATGCTTGCCAAGCAGGGTTGGAGACTTCTTCATTATCCTAATTCATTTACTGCGAGAGTTTTATCTGCTAAATACTATCCTGAAGTTTATTTCTTAGAAGCTAAAGTTAAAAGAACATCATCCTTTATTTGGAGAAGTGTAATGGCAGCAAGGCCAATTTTGGAATCTGGTTTAATGTGGCGTATTGGTGATGGTTCCAAAGCCCGGATTTGGCAAGACAAATGGCTTCCTTCTCCATCTTCATTTAAGATTCAAAGTCAATGCCTTGATATGGACCTGGAGGCTAAGGTGGCTACTCTCATAGATCCCTAATCAAAATCCTGGAAATTGGATCTGCTCAAAGACTTGTTCTCTGAATCAGAAGTTAGCACCATCTGTCAAATTCCCATTAGTGTCTTCAATAGACCAGATAAACTTGTTTGGAGATGCTCTCAAAATGGTCTATTCTCGGTAAGGAATGCATATCACCTGCAAGTGGAGTCTCAACTCTCATCCCGAGGCCAATCCTCTTCTGCAGCCAATGAGAATAAAAAGTGGAAGAAATTATGGAAGCTTCCCATCACTATTTTTGGGAAGGCTTGCCAAGACATTCTACCTACCAAGTGTAACCTTGTCAAGAAAAAGGTGATTGAGGATCATTTTTGCCCCTTCTGTTGCTCAAAAGAAGAAGATATCTTGCATGCTTTATGGGGCTGCGCTGCCGCCAAGGATATTTGGTCAAGTTGTTCTTGAACCTTCCAAAAGATGAATGACAATTTCATCGACTTCAGAGAGCTAGTTATGTTTTTTCTATCCGAATTAGAGGAAAAGCATTGAGCTGAATTTGGAGTGGTGGTCTAAAAAATCTGGCAAAGAAGGAATGAGCTTACTTTCAAACAACATCTCTCTACTCCATCCCAGATCATTCACCATGCAACTCAAGAACTGGACATGTTAAACTCCTTGCACCAATCGAGGACCTCTCTTAATGCTCATCCTCAGATTCCTAATCCCAGCTCACCAAGATGGCAGCCACCACCTGAAGGTATCTACAAAATAAATTGGGATGCAAGTGTGAGAAAAGAAGACTGCACAATTGGTGTTGGAATTGCAATTCGGGACTGGCAAGGCAGATTTATGGCAACTATGAGAATGAAGAAACCTATGTTCCCAGATGCATACTTGGCTGAGTCTTTCGCAGCTCTTCAAGCAGTCATTCTAGCAGCAGATATTGGTATTAACCAAATTATCCTGGAAGGGGACGCACTTCAAGTAGTCAATGATCTCCTAAGGGATGAAGAGAATTGGGGCCAAGCTGGTCTAATCTCTATGGATACTAAAGCGGTTTCTAGGAATTTTCAAACTTTTTTGGTTCATCATGTTAATAGAGCATCCAATGTGATTGCTCATACTCTAGCTAAAGATGCTCTAACCATAGATGATGTATTGGTAGAGCTTGAAGATGTTCCAAATTGTATTGGATCCTTAGTCGATCCTATTGAATGAATATAAAGCTCATTTGATTTAAAAAAAAAAAAAAAATTATCCTAGTTTTAGTGATTAAATATTGACTAAACTCATCCTAGTCTTGCCATTTTTCACAAAAAATTTGACCCCGGCTATAGCCCGGGCCATGTAACACTTGCTTCCACTCTAGGATTAAAATCATTATAAAAAATAATGCAGGAGCTCATCCTAAATCAACTAGACCAAAATATATTTTTCCACCCTGATTTTACTGAAATATCATTTGCTTATACTTTGCCACCACAGGTGAATAAAAAATTACAAAATGCCAGCCAAGGTTGGCCTTCATCTATGGAATATTCACTTTGAATTGATTTAACGGTTCGAATATCCCTTTTATCAAATAAATTAAGAAATTATTTTACAATCCTTCCTAAGTTAATAAAATTAATGAATAACCACAAATGTTCTCAATTTCAGCACTAAAACCCTCTTCTTCACCACTTACATATTTACACCACAACACAAAATAAAAAACAAAGCTCCGGCAAAATGAGGTAAGCATACTTTATCTCTAAAAAACAAAGAGAACAAAAGCAGCCTCATCTACCCACAAGGACTTAGTTGGATGGTCAGATTTGTGATTTGTTTCTACAAGGTTTAGGATTTGATCCCCTCATAGAAACTTATATGACAAAAAAACTATATTTAACCGTTTCCCAATGATGACAGGGTTTGGTAGGGGGGAAGCTCGCACAGGGATTTCAACAAGCATATAGAAGTGTATTTTTTTCTTTCCCTATTTTTCTCTGTTTTTCACTCTACAATTTAGCACTAGAAAAAACAGATTAATGGCTACAGATATTCATTCATATTGTGATATGCTTCCATGTCTGTCTTTGGCCATATGACGACATTCTTTTAACTCGACATTGCCTTCACCAAGGCTAGACTTAAACTCTCCTTTATTTCAACCCATGTAAACATCCAATACTATGAAATTCCATCAAATTTAACTTCCTTGGCAAATTTAGTAAAGCTCCCATTACCAGTTTTGGATCATAAACTCTTGCCTGAAGGTGCTGAGGCAACCATTGATATTTCATTCACATAAAATTCCATACCTTAAAATCTTTCGTACAAGAAAGATAAAATATATTTTTTATATGATTATATTATTATGGCAACTGAAATCTTTTGAAACTTCAAGTGAAAATGATAAAGAGTTTCTATGCATCACTTCTAATATGTCATGCCAGAAGCATGTACCAAAGAAACTTATTGCTTTCTCATCAGGGTTATATTATACATGTTTGAAGAATGTTGAAATCTATGTAGTTATGAACCAGAAGTTCACTGATCCTGAACTTTTTAAGATTTGACACAACTGTCATGGTCATCCAGGATCTACTATGATGCGTAGGATAATAGAAAACTCACATGGGCACCTATTAAAGAACCTAAAGATTTTGTCGCCCAATGAGAGTGTTTGTATTGCTTGCTCGCAAATTGGCACTTAAGCCATCCATCACTAAAGTTGGTCCAGAATCTTCATCATTTTTACAAAGAATTCAAAGGGACATATATGGACCTCTTCATCCACCAAGTGGACTTTTATGCTATTTTATGGTATTAATTGACGTATCGGCACGATGGTCACATCTTTGTCTGCTGTCTACCCGTAATGTTGCCTTTGCTAGTTGCTGGCACAAATTATCAAATTATAGAGACACTTTCCAGATTACCCAATTAAAGCAATCCGTTTAGACAATGCTGATGAGTTCACCTCAAAAATATTTGATGACTATTGTACAACAATGGGAATTGATGTTGAGCACCTAGTACCACATGGACATACCCAAAATGGTATGGCAAAGTCATTTATAAAGTGTATCCAATTAATTGCAAGAACTTTGCTTTTATGTACTCAATTACCGACTTTTGTCTGGGCTCATGCTGTTTTACATGCTACAGCATTAATTCGCCTAAGACCCATTGCATATCATCAGTATTCTCCAATACAGCTTGTATTTGGACATTAGCCTAATATATTCCATTTAAGAACTTTTGGTTGTGTTATGCAAGTTCTAATTGCACCCTGTCAAAGCACCAAAATGGGACCCCAACATCGTTTGGGAATATATGTTGGCTATGACTCACCATCAGATATCTTGAGCCCTTGACGAGTGATCTATTTATTACACATTTTGCAGATTGCCATTTTGATGAGACAATATTTCCTCCTCTAGGAGAAAAGGCAAAGCCTCTTGAAGTAAGGCGTGAACTTTATTGGAAAGTGAATTCTATGTCTTATTTAGATCTCGCACATCTCAATCTGAAATTAAAATGCAAAGAATAATACATTTGCAAAACATTGCCAACTAAATGCCTGATACATTTACAGATGCAGCAAAAATAACGAGATCATACATTTTTGTTGTCAATACACCAGCAAAGATTGATGTTACCAATGAACAATCCATGTGGGCAGTAATCAATTCATTTGTTACATGCAGAATCATGGTAGGCCTGTCGGAGCCAAGGATATTGTTCTTAGGAAACAAAAGGCACAAAATCAAATAGGTGCAAATATTGGAATAATTGACAATTCCACATCTTATAAACTAACTCCAGAAGAGTTAACAAACCTTGAAATGACAGAAGCCCCTAAAGAGAAAGAAATCCCTAAAGGAATACAAGAAAATAGAAATGAAGAAATCTCTATGAACTATGCTCATAGTAAAGAAATGTGGAATCGTAAGACAAAGATTGTCAATAACATATTCTCATACATAGTAGCTACTGAAATTATGAATGGTGAGTTTAAACCATGCTCAATCGATGAATGTCGAAAGAGACATGATTGGCCAAAATGGGAAGAGGCAATTCAAGCAGAATTAACCTCCCTAACAAAATGTAATGTATTTGGACCTGTAGTCCAAATGCCTGAAAAAGTGAAACTTATAGGGTACAAATGGGTATTCACAAGAAAACGGAATGAGAAAAATGAGATTGCTAGATATAAGGCTAGACTAGTGGCTCAAGGTTTCTTGTAGAGACCTGGGATTGACTTTGATGAGATGTATTCACTAGTGATGGAGGTGATCACATTTGGATACTTGATTAATTTATCGGTCTCAGAAGGACTTGATATGCGTCTATGGACGTTGTCACTACGTATTTGTATGGTACACTGGATACTGATATCTATATGAAAATCCTTAAAGGATTCAAAATGCCAAAAGCAAATAAAAGGAAAATGTATTCAATAAAATTGCAAAGATTGTTATATGGGTTAAAACAATTAGGATGAATGTGGTATAATCATCTTAATGAATATTTGATGAAGGATACATCAATAATCCTATATGCTCATGTGTTTTTATAAAAAGGTCAGAATCAGGATTTGCAATTGTGGTAGTATATGTAGATGATATGAACTTAATTGGGACTCTTGAAGAGCTCGCAAAAGCTATTGAATACTTAAAAAGAGAATTTGAAATGAATGATCTGAGGAAAACAAAGTATTGTCTCAGCTTGGAGATTGAGCATTGTTCAAATAGAATTTTGCTCCATCAATCAAATTATACTGAAAAGATCCTTAAGCATTTAATATGGACAAATCTCACCCCTTGAGTGTAACACCCACATGGAGGTACGTAATTTAATTTATGTTCTTATACCTTTAGTTGATTTTTGCTAAGGTTATTTTAAGGAAAATGTGAAGAAAAAGCCTTAAACTTGCATTAAGGGTAAAATGGTCTTTTCACTCAAAATTAGTTGAAATTGTGGAGAGTGAAAAGAGATAGAATTTCATGGAGAATGCAATAAAAATGAGGGCATTATGGTAATTGACTGAGGGATATAGATGGAATTTCAAAGAAAGTGCAAGGGCAAAATGGGAAACTAATATATAATTTTTATGTTATATGAAATTGAAGAGTGAAACCCTAGCCACTCTTACCCATTTGCACGCCACTTTCACCTCCATATTCTCTCAAATTCTTGAATTCTTCTTCAAAGGAAATTCATAGGTTTTGGGTGTTTTTGAGAGGATTTTCAATCTCAAGCTTGTATAGGTAAGATCATTGCACTAAGAAGTGATGTTTAGTTTTTAAAGTGTTGATTTTGATGGTTTATGCTCATAGGATTTAAGAAGAAGAGAGTTTGATCAAAGGAGATTCTTAAAGGGTTCATATCAAAGGTAAGTAAATCCTACCCTAAGTATGATTTAAGTTATGTTGTGTAGAAAACTTTCTTTATGCATATATATGTGTTATATGTAAAATTGTTGATGGATTTGATGTTGAATAATGATTAGAACCTATCCATGAGAAGTTGTGTTGGTGTAGTTGTTATTTGATGAATGTTTGGATGAGATTTGAAAGAATTGAAGTGTGTATTTTGGGCAGATTTGGTGTTAATTATGGAGGAGTTTATTCCAAATTTTTGGTGGCCTAAAATAGAGATAGAAGTGTAGCCAAATTAGTGTTGATTTTTGCACATGAATTGTCTGATGAAATGTCACAGAGAAGTGCTTGTATGAATATGATTATGTGTTACTTTGGGATGAGTTTGTAGATGGTAGAGAATGACATGTTTGCATTCCATAATGCCTAATTGCATTTAAATATGTGAATTTAGAAAGAATTATAAGCATGAAACCATCTACATGCATACATATTCATAAGAGCATGAAAAAGCTCTAAAATATGTTAAAGAGAAAATAGAAAGAAGTGAGAATGTTAAAGATATTCAAATCTGAATTTTTCTTAAAGAAGTGTAAAAAAAAGATAAAAAGAAGAGAAGGTTGTTGCGATGGGGAGCCATGAGTGACATAGTCCCACATGCACGCCGCCTTTAGCGAGCGGCCTCAGAATTCAGAAAGAAGAATTGTACAGTCCGTTACAAGTGCGTGTGGATGAGGACTGTACCCAGAATTAGAGAATTCACTCACACGGCCAAGGCTCCAAATCCATGCCTCAATCGAGTTTGATCAGCAAGAATAGAAAGAAAGAATAAAAAGAAAGAAAGAAAGAAAGAAATAAAGAAAAGAAACAGAAAACAAAATAAGAAAAATAGAAAAGAAAATGCATAATTTATGCATTTGTGCATTTGCATCATGAATATGCATAATACCATACTCATTATCATGGGTAGTGAAAAAAACTAGAAAACAGAGAGAAGAACAGAGAAAGAATAGAGAATACTCGGGAAATGAGTTGTAAGGAAAGAAAATTCAGGATTTAAGCAACAGAGAGAGAAGGGTAGCATAGCGGGTTTACTTACTAAGCCATTAGTGCTCACTCCGTTGTTTTTAATGTTTTGTAGGTAATAGGTGAGATGCGGTTACTCAGAACGTCACGCAGTGGAAGGGTTGGGCTACACTGTCAAGTTGCTATTTTTGAGAATATTTTGTAAATATTTGTATATAAAGAAAAATTAAATATAGGCCCATACTTTTTTACTCGTATATATATGTGTATTTTCTTATATATATTCTTAATGAGTTTTAGTAATTATTTTACGAGTATACTGGCTAGAAAGAAAGCATTACATTGAGTACCCTAATGGTAGTTCGGTCTCTTGATCCTAAAAATGATCAATTTCGTCCTAAAGAAGACGATGAAAAGATACTTGGTCCTGAAGTATCATATCTAAATGCAATAGGTGCATTATTATATTTGACACAATATACGAGACCGGACATAGCATTTGTAGTGAATCTATTGGCAAGATTTAGCTCTGCACCAAGTCATTGACATTGGAATAGGCCAAACATGTCTTTGGTTACCTTAGTGGAACAAAAGACTTGAGATTGTTTTATCCAAGAAAATCTGTTAATGATCCTTAATTACTTGGCTATACATATGCTAGGTACCTTTCTGATCCTCATAAAGCCCGCTCGTAGATGAGATACGTTTTTACTTACAATAGTACTGCAATATTATGGCACTCCACAAAACAAACACTGGCTACCATTTCCTCCAATCACTTTGAGATTCTTGCGCTTCATGAAGCTATCCGAGAATGCATATTGTTAAGATCTGTCATCCATCATATTGAAAGTACATGCAAATTGCCACATATCTCAGATGCTCCCACAGTTATGAATGAAGACAATGCAACATGTATTGCTCAAGTCAGGGGAAGATATATTAAAGGAGACAGAACTAAGTATATTTCATCAAAGTTCTTTTACACTCACGAATTCCAACAAAATCGAGAGATTGGTGTCAAACAAATACGCTTCAGTGGTAATCTTGCAAATTTATTCACTAAGACCTTACTGACATCAACATTTGAAAAGTTAGTGTATAGCATCGGTATGCGGTGGCTTAGTAAGTTGCTAAATTAATTCTGCCATCATGAGGAGGACCATTGATCCAGATAAGCATTGATTATAGGGAGTTTTTAGAAAAGGTTTAGTGTATTGGACAGATGTGCACTGTATTCTTTTTTCCTTGATCAGGTTTTATCCCATTAGGTTTGTTGACAAGGTTTTTAATGAGGCAGTATGTAGCATGTCCAACTTCATGTTATAGTTTCATTGTAGAGTTGTATTTCTTTACTTAGATTTTTCCCCACTAGGTTTTTTCTTCAATAAGGTTAAATACAATTATTTGTAAATAGTAGAGGTCCAAGGGGGAGTGTTGTAAAATAGTGTGAACCTCCACCGCTTTGAATTTGAGGTGGTGGGATAATCAAAAGGGGAAGGGGTGTATTCTGTAAATACCCCCACTAAATAAATGCAAAAATTTGAGAAGTTTAATAACACATCAATTAAGTCTCATAGCTCTCAATTCTCTTGCTTTATTCCTTCTCTCTCTGATTTGTTAATTTATTCCCTTATTTGAGTTAATTATTATAAAACAATTCTCCAATAATTTAGAATCATAAAGTGATTGTTTTAAATTATAATTTAATTGTATTAGATATAATTTTTTTTATCATATAAAAAACTGATTTAAAAATACAAAAAGCCCCAAGCAAATACTAAAACCAAAAAAAGAACCTGATAATAATGATTAATCAATAATAGTTTGTTAAATTTCAAAATTTTAAAATTAAAATAATTGACGTTTTGAACTTACCCTATCATCGCAGACAACCACCGTTGGTAATTAATTATATTTAATATTAATATATCATAATTTTTTTTTAATAAAATTTTAAGGTTATTTGACATTACATTTTGAAGTGATTATAATTTCAAAACAAACAATAATGATGGAAATCGACTTTGGAGGTAGCAGGCGAAGGTAGCTGCTAGAACAAGGACCATCAAACTACATTTTCGGGAGGAGTACAGCAACAGCTAGCAAAGCAAGTAAGCAACAGACTTATCTCAGAATTATTTTCTACTTATCTCTTGAGAATCCAGAAAGTGTAAAACTTTCAAGAGAAACAAACAGAAAGTTTGAGAGAAGATGGAATTTTCCAGAAGTGAAACTTTTAAGCAAATACTTTGAATATGAACTTGAAAGAACAGAGTCTTAAGCTCCTCTCTGCTTAGTTGCTACTAACCCTTGATCTTGTTCTCAATTTCGCAACAATCTTATACCATCTTTTTAGCTTGCGCGAAATGCTGAAGGAAAATGTTGACATAATCAACTCGCATAAGAGGGAATATTTCGCAGACACAAACAAGCAGAGAGGCACTATAGGTACTCCAACCACTAAAGAAAGTACCCAGTTTGAGTTTCTTTCACGAAACACCAGATAAAGAGTGGCACAAAACGCTATCATCAGAGATGCTATAGAGTAGAACAACATAACATAGCACCACGTTAACTGCTTGGGCAGGGAAAAAAGAAAATCTTCTTCTCCATAGCGTGAAGTGAGGATGGATACGAACATTATGATGGCCCCAATTGATGTGAAAAAACAGAATGAATTAAAAATACTAAAGATTGTGAAGGCTGTCTGTTCGTACAAATTTGGGTGGCCATCATCGTTGTAATCACCTGGTATAGTGATTGCTGCTGCAAATACTATTGTGGCAATGAATGATGCTGCTAGTGAGCATGAAGATGCTGCACCTTTTATCCATTCCTCACCTTCTTTTATGAGTTCTTTATGTTCCTCAATAAATACCATTCTTGGAGTTTTTCCTTCCGAATTTTTTTCCAATCGATAGTCGGGCGGCACCCTTTTCTCTACTTTCTGCATTTAGATAAATTTTATAACCACATCAATATATTGGAAGAGTGAAATTATAGTCAGAGATTCAGCGCAGACTTCTAAAACCGTCTTATACCAATTTATATTTGATGTACAGCAATAGATGGACAACATCAGCTCAAATTTAATAGGTGAATGAAAATAAAGTAAATAAAACTTATATTGTTAAATTAAATTTATATTCTTAGGTAGGGAAAAGCAATTCATAATAGAAGATTACTAAATATTTAGCACCATGTAATGTTTACATCAAAAGTCTTACCTTAAACCACTGTAACTCATGCTGCATATCAAGAGCTGCACTTGGAAGCTGATTCGATTGACTTTTGGGTTTTCCAGCTAAGTGCAAGATATTGTTCTTGTCAATGTCTCGAGACCGTAATAACATGTGTTTATAACCACTCCTACCACATATGAGGCGTAATACCTTCTTTTGACGATTCATAACTGCCAAATGGAGTATATTGTGATTATTTTCATTTGTAAACCAAATTGCATCAGGATATGTTTCCATAATCTTTTCCACAACTTCGCAAACCCCCAATTCTGCCGCTAGAAGGAAGGGTCCTTTCAGTATCGAGGAATGATCTGAACTCTTTGCAATTTCCATGCACAAGTGTTTGACAAGTTCGAGTGCTTGGTGATGCGTCGACTCTGTCTCTCGTTTTTCTTTTACATAGTCAAGTAAAATATCGTAAGTTAATTAGAAGAAAACAGTTTATTAAATTCTTAAAAAATATGAATTCACTTATAACTCAACCAATCACTAAAAATGATTAATTAACGTGAATTATATAAAAATGAGTAAAACTGTCATATTCTCCCAATTAATTTAAATAAAACCTAAAGTAAGAGGCATTAGCCGATCTATTAAATTGACATAAAATCCATGTTTTCTGAAAAGAAGAAAAAAAGTACAAATGTGTAATTCTTAAATCAATTTACATATAGTATATTATATTAATATAATGTAATGTAAGTCATTAAAAAGCTCTACTAAATCGTTAAATTCTTCTCTTGTCCATGTGAAAACATATAAATATATTCATCCGCATAATATTGTTTACTAATATTATGATGAACCAAGGGAAATTTCCTATCCCACAACAGAAATTGAAAAAAAAAAAAAAAAAAAAAAAACATAATTTAGAGAACAAATAACTGGATATTCATGAGTTATTGGATTATAGAAGATTAGTAACTAAATATGAAATATGTACTCATGCTTGAAGAATTGATAAAACTTTGGCATTTTAAATATTATTATTGATTCTTATAATTTTCTAAGATTAGAATAATAATCGAGGGTCAGCTTAAATATTATAAATAAAGATCAATTAAATATAGTATTACAAATAAAAATAATTCATGTCGCATATTAATTGATATTTATGCAAATAAATAAAGCTTTGACACATCTTGAAATCTTATAATTTATTAGAAAAAAAAAATATTAAGGCAATTTTATGTTTTTATTTTCTACTAGCTAGTATTACATAATCTTGAAAAGTTAATAACCTTTATTAGTAGTTTTCATATTTTAATTTGAAAAACATTGAAAACTATATTAAGTGTTGTATTGGTGTTTCTTAAAAAGGTGTTAGACATATAAACTTAAGAATAAATTTAATTAACATGATTTTTTATGTTTCATGAAAGAGATATTGTCCTATATACTAGTTCTACTAATTTTTAATTCTTAAAATGTTAAGGTTTTGTTTAACATACATATTTAGTTATAAAATCACATGATTTACTCTAATTGTCTCTAATAAAAAATACTAAAGACAAAAATAACCAAAATGCAGTTAGACTATGAAGTCTAACACCAGCAAGCAATTCTTAGAAGATTGGTATTTATAAAATATTTACTCACGCTTATCAGATTTATAATCTTTGAAGAATTGCAAAAACTTTCGCTTTGTTTGTTGTCCACTCCGAAATGCCGATGGCTTTCCTGCTATTGTACTCAAAACAAACTCACCAGTAGGTAACTGCTTCGTAGCTAAATTTCCATGTATTTGAAGCACTTTTAGTGCCAAGCCTGAGACGTAATGATGGGCAAGAAAAAATGGCTTAAAAATGCATCAATATATATAGTAAACACTTGGAAGTTATCTCATTCAAATCTAGTAATACTTAGTAGCGAATGAAAGAATAACTTACCATAAAATCCAGCAATTATAAGCGAATTTAGGAAAGAAACGCCAGAGTCATCACTAAAACCTGTTAAATCTGCATAATCGAAGTAACTGTTGCTGAAAGGCAATAAAAATTCAATCATCTTCTTTTGGCCATGTCGAGCTGCCTCAATCAAAGGTATTCTTTTAGAATTGTTTGAATCTTGAATTAAAGTTTTATGTTTATTTTTCATCAATATCATGAAGGCTGCTCGGACATTTCCAACAATTGCAGCAACGGAAAGAATCGTGTTGCCCTCTTTATTTTTCTTTACCAGTAGGTCATCATCAATTGGCATCTGATCCAATAGATACTTGACAATATCATTTGCCTTGCATGTCCCAATCCCAACAGCTACATGAAGAGCTGTGTCCCAGTTTACAGTGATCCTGGCTCTTAGTGCCTCTTTATTATCATGACAGATCTGTTGTACAGTTTCCAGGTTGCCTTCGAGTATAGCTTTATATAGCGACAAGTATTTCTCGCATTGCTCTGCAATAAAAGCAAACATAAAATTTTCATACTTGTTTTAATTTGGTTGGTTAGATTATTTATTTACTTCTGAAAATTTATTTTAATTTCGTACTACTTACCCCTATCCTCATCTGATAATGCGGTAGGCTGTGATGAAGAAGAGGCAATTAGTTGTAATGAAGAAGAAGCGATAAACTGTAACGAAGAAGAGATATTGTAGTTTGGTAGCACATACCTGTGTATTTCCTTGGAACTCTTTTTTTAACGCTGTCCATGCTCCTTTTGCCGTCTTAACTTCATAAATTTTTGAAAAAATGTCATACTCCACCGCTTGTAGAAGGATGTAAAGTGCTGCTGCATTTTTCTGCCTACTTTCTTTCAACTGCTTCTGTTGTCGCTCAGATAGAGTGGAGGTGTTGTCTGGAACAGAGATTCCCTCATTAACAATGTCCCATAAGTCTTGGGACAAAAAATATGTCTCCATCTTAATCCTCCAAGTATCATATTTTCGTCCAGTAAAGATGGGGATAGGAACAGAAAGTGGATTTAAGTTACCACTGGCCATGACGAGGGATTTGAATGTTTAGTGTAGTAAACCCTCCTGCCAATGTAATATATATAGAGAGTCAAGGGATCTTTCTTTTAGTAATAGATGGCAAATAGGCAAATATTCAACGGAGAAGGATTAGTTCCAGGCAAGTTAATACAATACTTGTTGATCCAATCTCATATTAAATTAGTTAGGTTATAAGTTAACAAAAGTTGATAATAATTTGCAAATGGAATACAAAAAAAATAATAATCAAATATTAAATTAAGCCACCCCTCTAACTTCTATTATTGAGCTTATTTAATCCATCACTATATGCTTGCAACAAAATTAGGAGGAAATGCTTTCAAAACGATTTAATTAAACCTTTTATTTATTTATTAGAAAATATGATTAAAACATAATCTTTGAATGTTTCAATTTTGAGATAACATTATTTTTGTTTTATCAAATATGTTGACTCATATTATTGAATTTTACAATGACATTAAAGAGTTGAAATTAATCAGTTTATTAACATAATACTAAAAACCGATTATAGAGTAACCACGACGGGTTTAATTTGTTACTATTTCTTATAAGGGTAGCAGGATTGTCCAAGAAAATGAAAGGGGTTTTTAAGATTTGCCTATTAATTTAATGTTTAAGAAAGGACAAAATGTTTACAGTTATTTAAAACACGTCATGGGATTCGTAGTTTTTCACTAGTAATTTAGGTCAGGACTCAGGATTTAGCCTCTTTCACTAGTAATCCCTATGTACTAATGTTCTTTCAATCAGTATAAGTTTTCCTTTATTTATTTCATTGCTCAATAAATCAACTAGATGTTATATATAATTAATACACTAGTTTTACCGAAAAGTGTATTCTTGTACTTTTCCACTGATGAATAAAAAATTAAAAAGAAAACAAGCGTTACCTAGGTGCCTCGCTGGCGACTTTGGCTAATGGCCATTAAACTTTTTTTTTTTTTTTTTAAATTTTAAAAAATAGAGGAGAAATAAAAAATTTGTGTGAAATATTTTTTGTGGATTTCATTTGCTTAAGGTTTAATGAATTTTCAAAAGTTTTTACTAATTATTTAACAAACAATGACGGAGTCGTAAAAATCCACCCTCGACAAAAATCCTTTGTCCACTACTGACGACAAGGGGGTAGATGTAAGCTTTGAAAGTTAGGGGTTGTGATGGTAAGGTGCCGTTGAGTCAAAAAATGGCATCGAAATCAATTTTTGTTGCCAGGAAAGTAGCGAAACGACAAGAGGCGACAACTTCTAACGCTTGCCGTCTCTTGCTAAAATGCGCCGACGCAATGTAGAATTGCCTTCTGCTAATATGGTTTGGCAAAAAAATGAGCCGAGCTCGAGCCCTGTGGTGATCGGCTTGGCTTGGCTCATTTGTAGCCCTCAATTCATAATCACAATATCTTTACTGGCTTTTTTCAGGTGTAAGATAAGACAAAACTTAATATTAATCACTTAGATACAAATTAATCTTATCTTCATATAAAATCCTAAAATATATATATTTAATAAGTAAATAACTTCTTAAATGCATAAACAAATATGATACTGGACTGAATAAACAAATATTAAATGAATAAAGGAATTTATTGTTCGTTTTTAATGATTACTATTAACATTTAATTACCAAAAAACATTTAATAAAGTTATTTTACATAATATATATGTTAGACAAATATTTAAATAATACATTATATAATTTTGTATTAAATAAAATTTTGTATAATATAAATATTGAAATAAATATGTTCAATTGATATTATGGTGAATCACTTTTGCTGATCATTCGAGAACCTAATTTGCTGATTAAAATTCAAAGCTCCTGGATTTTCATTGTAGCGAACATAAACCTCATATAAACATATTGCTTACATGAATAAAATACTATACATTTCAGTATGTCTTGTAGTCCATTTTTTCTTCATATTATCTTTTTTACTTGTTATGATCGATGGGATATGACAAAATTTCATATATTAGTTAAATAAAAATATAATCTTAAAATGAATTGTAAGAATATATATTAGAATCATAAAAATATTTTAAATAATATAAATTAGAATATATTATTATTATTATCAAAATTTTTCCATATTGAAAATTGTAAAAAATTATCCTTTAGTATTTATGAGCCCAATAAATAGAAATCCCAACTTAAAAAATAAATAACAACTACCTTGGTACAATTAGTAAATTAGATCATAAATAGTTCTGACAAGATTTAACATGCATGATAAATACGTTGATAATAAATAAAGAAAAACTACCTTGGTACAATTAGATATTCAAAATTTCTGAGAAATTAACATGCATGATAAATGTTGGTAATAAATAAAGAACAACTACCTTAGTACAATTAGTAATTAGATATAAATAGTTCTGAGATCAATCATGAGTTGCCTACGTCCTATACACAATAACTCAAGCGATGGATGTAATTAATGTTACCTCCTCCAACTACCGTTTGGTCTATTTATGGATGAAATTAATTACTGATGTTACATAGTTGGTGCATACACTGAGTCAAGATTAGTTACTTTGCCACTACCAAATTAGCTATTAATCACTTACTTTAATTGAAGTTTTTCTCTTAGGTACTGTAATCTTACTTCCATTTTATTTATGTATCTTAATTTATTGTTGATATATTAGATTTTAATGAATGTATATAGATCAACAAATATTAAAATAGGGTATATTAAATATTAAAAGGTGTTGGTGAGTATGATAAATGTTGACAATAAATAAGATTAAACAAATTTTCCCGTCCAAAGTTTGCCTTAATGACACTTTCCCACCCAAAAAATTTCAAAACACCACTTTCCCACCCATAGGCTAGATAAATTCCGTTAACAATAGTATATATTCGTTGTAAAGACAAAAATTACTCTTTATTATTTGACTTAATAATTTTTTATTATTTTATTAGAATAATTACCTATATACCCCCTCTTTAAATATAAAATTACTCGTATACCCTCTAATATTTAAGGATATAAATTATCAATTTATCCCTCAAGTTTTTCACTAAAATAATGTTTTAAACCAATGTAGTTACTTTTAAAATTTGAAAGCTTTAAATTTAAAGTAATACTAGCCTTACAAAGAGGCATACAAAGAACTATACAAATAGTCAAATCCAACCCTTGAAAGAAGGGAAAAAGAGAAGTAGTCTTTCCGGTGATGTTTTAACAAAATTACAATGCATACATATTTAACAAATTTTATTAATTCAAACCCAATAAAAATAGGGAATTCAATATAAAGAAAGCAAAGCAATTCAGGTGATGTTCTTTTAAGACAATTTCTCATTCATTAAAATCCAAAAATATATATATATATATATTTCCCCATCCCACTTTCTAGCTCCTTGAAGCTTTGCTTTTCCTTTGCTTTCTGGATCTTCAAAACCTTTTGCTCTTCCAGCAAGGAAGCTCAAATCATCCTATCAAATGTTTCCAACAGCAAAGAAAAATCAATTAAATTTGCTATTTATCACATTTAACCAGTGGATAGAAAACAATAAAAACTCAAACTTAAGTATTCACACTATCACAGCAGTACCTCTCCCTAACAACAGCTCCGAACGAAGTAGTTCACTTAACTAATATTATTAAAGTGAAAACTCAACAACCCAATTGAATATTTACTGAAAAATGGATCCATTTTATGCAATGACCTGTTTGAGAAACGAGTGACTCCTGTGACTTGTCTCTTGGATTTGAGGTTGATATGATTTGATCAGTTGATAAGAAAGGAGGGTGATCTGATCATAGTAGTAAGAAGGAAGTGGGTGGTGGATGGTGAGATAGGATCAGCTCGGTGTCGGCCACCTGCTTTAGTGAACCCTGGGAGTGTCGCCTTGTCGGTCGTTTACCGAGGTGAAACTTTTGAGGGAGAAAGGCAAAGGGAGAAAGAAAATTTCAACCAGGATTTATAATTTTAAGTTTTGAATGTTGCGGCTTAGCGTAAATGGGTCATTCTGCCCTTATTCATAACTGAGTTTTCACCATCTTATCCTTTTTCAAAACGGAATTTACTAAGGGATCTGGTCTATGGGTGGAAAAATAGTATTTTAAAATTTTTTTGGATGAGAAAGTATTAAAATAAGGTATATTAAATATTAAAAGGTGTTGGTGAGCATGATAAATGTTGATAATAAATAAATAACAAGTACATTGGTACAATTAATAATTAGAGAATAAATAGTTGCCTACGCTCTTATAATAACACAATAACTAAGTCAGTTGACGCATGCACTAGTTCATATTGAGCAAAAACATCAGGCAGATGAAGACAAGAAAGATGCTCATTTAAGGAAAGATGTTGAGCTGAAGATCAGGCAGATGAAGACAAGATAGATGCTTAGTTTAAGGGAAGATATTGAGATAAAGTTTTCATCTTTTGTATAGTCTGGTATGTGTATGTAAGACTGTAGAGTTAGCTTGGGTTATTTTGCAAAACTCAAAACTATTGTAAAAACGGTGCGTTTTTAGCGATTAACTAAAATACAACAACAGTCGCGCGCTTTTACACTTCTCAATTAATGAACTTTCCCAAATTCAGTTCGAAATCCTCTTCAAGTTTTCTCTGTACTCGTTTGTCTTGGTTTTCTTTATTTTCTTGGAATTTCTTGAGTTCAAGATTATTATATAGTTACTTTGCTAGTGCCAATAAGCTGTTAATCGTGTGATTCATTTCAATATGCATGGTTGATTGGTTTCCAACCAAACCTTTTCCCCCTATATAGTATCATCTCTTTAATTTCTTTGAAGTTTTTTCTTAGGCATTGTAATCTTACTTCCAGTTGATGTATCTATCTTCAATTATTGTTGGTGTTAGATTTATTTGATGTATCTTTCTTCGTTAAATTAACAAAAACTGTTTCAATAACTTAAAAGAGTAATTATTAATTTAATAGCTAAATCTTTTTAGGATGACAACTACCTTGGTTCAATCAGTAATTAGATAATAAATAAGTTTTTCAATTAA